TATATATATATATATATCTCGTGAACAGAGGAGGTCATTTTATGTAAGTGTAGTTAATTAAAACGACTTCCAGTAATATTATAATATACGTCGGAGCGTCTATACATATATGTATATCGGATTTATTACAAATCCCTTGTTTTTAAAGAGAGTGACGCCAGTATGTCACTTCTCCCAGTACGTTCCATGATATTTTAAAATGAAACTTAAATTGTTCTTAATGTTCCTGTATTTCTCGAAGGTTCTTCATAATGACATTCTTTTATGGTCCACACTCACTAAACTCTGCCGTCCTGCGTCCAGACGTACTCGAAATATTTGTACCAAAATTCAAACGAATTCTATTCTCCTTTTAAACTGTCTTTGATTTGTTTTACTTTTAACAATAATGATGAATACTAATGAATTTAAATCTGAATTGATGACAGGCTTAAATTATTTTCATATCGCATCCGTTATTAAAGCTGATAGCGCCGACATATACGTTTTATTTAAATAATAAATAAAAAGTATTGTAACAATTATCAAGTGTCACCAGCACAATAACCTGTGCAAGTGCAGTCTCAACAATGTGTGTCGGTTTGTATAAATAGAGGCGAGGGTACAGAATCTAAACGTTCCTGCAGGAGCCGTTGCATGGATCGGAACTTAACGAGGTTACTTTAAAGAGTATGAGATCCTGACGTCATCAAGAACTGAGGCGTTGGTGACGTCAGTAATGCTGACGTAACTCCTTTAAAAAAAATATGAAGTGGTTCCAAAGCCGACATAAATAATTACTATTATGTTTCAAATTACCTGTATTTAATAACTATATTTTGTCAGTGATGGCTCAGTGGTTAAAGGGCCCGCCTCTCGTCGCCGAGGGCGCGGGTTCGATCCTGGCCCGGGCAAGTACCAATGTGATTTTTCCGAATCATATGTACTTTCTAAGAGTATTTAGACATCACTGATTAATGTTGATTCCCAAAAGAGGGTTGATGTCAGGCAGGCGGCCGGTCGTAAAAACAAATAGCCAAAAACTATTCATAACATGTAAGGCAGACCCCTGGCTATAGCTGGGAAATTGCCAAGTAGAAGAAGAAGTAACTATATTTTGTATTTATTGACGAACAAACATGCGCAGAGAAGCTACTTATTGGCAATTAATTAATTAATCAGAAGAGATTATTGAGGAAGAGTAATGTTGTGTAATTAATTAAAATAAAGGCCAATAGACGTTTGTCGCATTAAACATTAGTTATTGACGTACTTCAAGGTTAGGTTATATGAATACTTGGATGGATAGAAGGGAGAAGAATGAATTTAAATATACACCGATGCTGAACGGGGTTAGCATAAACTTTAATTGACAGTTGATTTAAATTACCTCAAACATATATTGTGATAAATAATTATAGAATAGAAAGAAAATTTTGAATGTCTTTGGTAACAATGTTATACTTAGTCGTGCAAAGTTTAGTTATCTGAGTTATTAAAACCAGTCCGAGACGAACAGAACCTTTATAAAACGCAGACCTATCCGCAACTGATGATACTTTCCTTTGGTGACCTGAAATATTCTCTAATTATTTTTTCATATTCTTGTTTAATTTCTTTGTATTCAAAAACAACGATGTTTAAGTATCAAACTTTTGTTAAGTCCTAGACTGAACATGTCACCCTCATCTTTAAAAATCTTACATTAAACACTTAAAACATACTTACAATTTTACATATAAAACTTGATTGTTGTGAGTTTCATAAAACAGAAAATGTGTTAAATGTATTCACATTATTGAGTGAAGCAAAGTTATACTGACGAAAAAGTTCATTTATCCACAGAGACTGTACGATGAGTGATAATTCTTTTTGTTCGATTTCCCAATTACCTGGGATATTTTTTATTGAAGAATAATAAAGATCGGACCACCAATTTTAATCTTCAAATTTAGGATAATGTCCTAAAACCCGATTCCGTACAGAAACACTGAGGTCGCGTTACTCAACATGCAACGAGAGTGTTTTGTTGTGTGTCTCCTAGTTTATCGCATGTAAAGTGTGTTAGTATTAATACTAAAAATATTTATATGCATATTTTTACAGACGGAACGGTACTTTCTTTCATATATATTGTCTAACCTCGCTCTTTACTTGATGAAACTATTAAGTGCCGTTACAAAACTTATTAATTCAAACTGAACCCCGCAACCCGTTCATCCATCCACCCTAAGTTGTGGTAACTTTTCCCTCCAGCGCTCATCTCCTGACTCTCATTTATTGTCAACTTTACACATTAAACTCACAACTAACTTCAGCTACTTTATCTGACAAATTAGTGAAAATTACAATGTATATTTACTTTTTAAAGTAGTGAAAAATTCAAGTAAGGAATTTTTATTAACACCGATACCTATTACTCAATGTGATTCAAACATTAACTATAAGTATTTAGTGAAAAATTCTACAAAATTTACAACATTACTATTTAGAATATAAATTGGGAACACATGTTATTGTTCTAACATCCGATAGTTATAATAAATATATACAAATAGCAACAACATTTATTATTTATTTTAGTATTTTTGTCATTTCTAATCATTTATATAATTTGATATAAATCTTCATTTGTAACTACAAAAGATATTTCAAATGTGTGTTAAAATTACCCTCTAGTCAGTTAATTGAATTAGCATTTAAAACCAAGTTGAGTTGAGATTGACCTAATTGCATAAACCGCAATTCACATTCAAATCCCCGCAAGTTTTGTAGGTCAATGCAATTATTATTTCATCATGTAGAATTTACAAATGTTGGAGTCTACGGAATTATATAAAAGAAAAAAAAATTCACGAATCAATGAAAATAATTATGAGAACCTTTTTACATAATGGAATACACAATAAGTATTAAATATTAATTATATAATGAGAAAATAGCTTGTTTTATATTGGGTACTTTAAGAAAACTTCATTATAATTTATATCTAATGAAGACAGGTAGCGAGGAATACTTTGCTAATAATTTGCCTTGAATGAGATTTTGGCGACATCAGCTTGTACTGGGCTGCTCTGGAAGGCGTCTTTTATTAACTCCTACTTCAAGGTCGGTTCTAATAGGACAGGTGACAAATGAACGAGCGATGATTAGGTGATGGAGCAGAAAATTTATTATAATAGAAATAGGGCTTCAAAATGTTTTGTTATATAAAGAAGATGAATTTTTAAAGTGATTGACCAGGCAAGCTATATGTACATACAATATTATTGAAAAGAAACACTTTACAGAAAAGCCACAAAACAAACATGATTACGTTCACAAATTAAATAATATGACATAAAAAACATTTAAAACAGAGCCAACGTGTTCAAAGTACATTTTATTTCTGTTGTTATGTTATCAAGGAGGAGTTTTTCCTCTTTAGAAGAAAAGCCGTAGTCAATACTTTGATGTCTAGTGGTTTAGGAGATAAACCTTAGCCATAAAGCTAATGACTTTGCATATGAGGTACTGTAAGTGTAGCGGTGTAACTTAACAATATATGTAGTTTGTAAAGTGCTGACTACGCTTCTCAACTATCTGACTTTATTAAAACAGAAAACAAGACACCAACATAACATCCATGCTATAAAAGTTAAATTGTAAAATGACTGTGTCACAGTAAACTTAGTAATTTAGAATTTAATGTTTTTCATTTAGATTCGCTTATTTTTATCCGATTTACAACCTTGCAAAGTTGGAACATCAAATTAACACTCGTCTATGAATTACATACACTCTCTTAATATCTCTTAATATTACAAATAAATTATTTCGTTTATGTACTTTGGGTTTAAGATGATGTTAAATTATTTTCTCACAGTATTTAAAGTCATTTTACTATTTTTCCCTACAACCAAACCCAGAGTGTATATCAGGTGGTAGTGTAACAAGAAGAGGAAAAATTACTGTGAATAGGTAGTTTTAAACATTGTTTTTAAGTAATATTTTTTTTAGCCTATCGGAGCCCGCTGCTGAGCAAAGGCCTCTTTCTCTCATGGAGAAGGTGTGAGCGTTAATCACCACGCTTGCTCAAGACGGGTTGGTGATTTCAAACTTATAATTTTTTGAAATTATAAGTTACGATGTTTTCCTCACTATGTTTTCCTACACCGTCTGTCAGTGGTGTCTAAATACTCTTAGAAAGTACATATGAGTCAGAAAAAGTCACATTGGTTCTTGCCTGGGCCAGGATCGAACCCGCGCCCTCGGCAACGAGAGGCGGGCCCTTTAACCGCTAGGCCACCACTGTCATTATATTTATATTATAGTGACATGACATTATATTTATTATTGTTATTACTAATGTATTGAGTGTTGGCATCATTATTTCACTGGTAGTCGCGGATAACCGATAGGCTTCGCGCGTAAAATGATGCCTTTCAATCTAAACCCAAAGATTTTCCGTAATTAATTATAAGGTCAGTAGATAACAAGTTGGGCAGACTACCAGCTAGCCGAAGTATAACAACTGATATTAAAAGGATTATTATTCTGAAGTGAAAATTGTTGTAAAAGACGTCCGTTACACAGTGTATTGTTGTCTAAGTACTTGACTGAACGAGTTGTACTCTGATCTTTGTAACATAACATAAACAGTTAACATTCCATTTTAAGTAATAGTTACAACTTACATAGTTCTATTGCAAAATGTCATGGATAACCTATGTCATGGACCATCTTATATACCTACATAAAACTCAGATAATTATGTAATGATAAATTTTATTTAGAGGTTATCTGTTTTTCCCCTTTCGGTATCGGTCATGGGCAACTGTTTTTTTTAATTTTAGACTTGAGAAGAAGTTTTACAGAACGATTTGTTTCAAATATAATCAAACACTTTCAGGCAACAATCACACAAAACCCCTTTCTATCTTTCTGTGATATAAGGATGTAGTTTTTGTTACTTGTATATCATATGTATAGAAATATGAATGACAGTGAAGTCTCTGTTTCTGTATACATATTGTAACGTGTTATACACACACCCCTCCCCCGCCCGCTCCCCGCTCCCCGCTACTCTCCGCTCTCCGCTCGTCTCTCTCCCTCCGTGTGATTAACGAGCTCGCAGCACCGCGGCCGCTGGTTTCCCCGTTCCTATCATTTCTCAGAACCTCCTGCACTCTCCTGTCATGAATAAATTGATATTACAACTTGGGTCATAAATTATTGTAATAAAAATATGCAGAATAAATTATATTAAAGTGATGTGCAGTTTTATAATATTCATTACAGACATGCTCAACTATTTTTGAACGTATCGAGGTTCAAATAGTATCACATAATACACACACATTACAAACTAACTTTAAAGTTTACATGAAAAGTTATTTTTACATTTAGTTATGGATTTAACGTCGTTAGTCGGCTCGTAATCTTATTTTTTATTTATGAGAAAGGAACGTTAATTTGAAAATTTTCGATTTTAATAGAAAGTATACTTCCATTTATTTCAACTGTATATATATATATAATGATTTTCACACAGTCGTGGAGTTTTTTATTATTAAAGCTACAATATTAAACTTTCCTGGAAGGCTTGCATCGTGATAATATCAGAAGAGAGGGAGAGAGGAGCGTCTGAAACGAGAAGCTATCGGAGCTTACCTACAGGGACAAGACTAATTATTTTGCTAAATATTTAACAAATTGCCTAAATCAGCGGAGAACAGAGTAATTCATAATGAGATTACCGCGGCCTTAAAACAGAGAGACGCTCTCATTATATTGTTATCCTTTTCATTTGGTAGCGACGAACTCGGTCACACACTCACTACATCTTACATATGATATATAGTTTTAATGATAAAAACAAAATAATTAATCATTATACGAGTAACATATTTAATATATGAACCAGAGGAAAAGTTTTATAAGTAAAACAATGAAACGTTCAACGTTCACATAATAATGTAGAAGACTTTGATTATGTTTTAATGAACATTTTATAAAAAATTAAACTCGGTGGATTAAAGAATCGTTGAATGACCAGTCAGTTAGAAACAGTCGTGAATTTCAAGTCTGAAGTAATATCGTTTAAGTAAATAGTAAACATAGAGACAAATTGAAACACATATTTACATATATAAATGTGTATATCTACACGAGAAGAACTAGAACGAGATAAAACTCCTCCCATATAAAAATATTTTTATGACAAAACATAATATAATATAGATATTAAAACGACTACAACTATTCCTTACAATAATAAAAATTCTCTACTTCCAATTAAACATATTATAGTTAAGTCACTTTCAAGTGACATGCCACGATCATAATTCTAAATCAATTCTCGCAACAAATATTAAATGCACGCTTCAGGTTTATTAATTCCATCAAGACTCGAGCTCGGCCTCACGATGACTCTTAACACAAAAACTATTTACAAAAATGTTTGTACAGAGACGAGATTTAAAAAATACATCGGTTTGTGGGTCGAGTGTAATGACAGCAGTTCCCGACGGAGGGGTAATATATAATGTAACGATTCAGTCCGCTTGATCGAGTGTCACGGCTCGAGGTGACGAGGGGACGAAGATGTGATAACTGACTGGACCTCCCGAACATAACGTAACTCAAGAGCAGGTCAGGAAGTAAACCCATTCTTAAATCACAACACAAACTCTCAACTGCTACAGTATTTTCTCCGCGCTCTCTTTATAAACGTGAAATCATCGAACACTGTCCACTCGTTAAAGCGTCTCGCCCCAATGCCCCGGTCTCCCCCGGCCTCCCTCGACCTCCCGCACCTCCTTCCACTAGCACCGGCATACCGTACCCGGTATACTAATATTAATAATAAATTCATTTATCACAATGTTTAAGGTAACATTTCATAATTATTTGTACCAGTCCTATGAAACCAATCGTGAATGTTTGTTGTACACAGCCTCACAGGTGAAGTGTTATGCTCCATGCGTCATAATCTGTATGAGGTGACGTGCACGAGACGACTACGATACATTCTTTTCGTATTGTTTTTTGTTCGTATTATTATTTCATTTAAATGACGTCATTCAAACGTTTGAGTCACTTGAAACCCGAACTTATTTAAGTACTTTTCTTAAGTACTTACATAGCATTACTTGAGTAATGTTTGATTTTAAAGTATTTATTATTTCTATATATTTTTTTTTTCTGTATCGATATACCTCTGCCGTGTGTGTTTGTGGGATGTGTTTGTGTGTGTGTGTGTGTGTGTGTGTGTGTGTGTGTTGTTGTGTACGTGTGAGAGGGTGGCGGTAGCTGAATGTTCAAGGAAGAGAGGGACGGCCGGCGGACGCGTCCCGAAGTGCGATATTTATTGCAAAGAGTCCTCTCAAGTAAACACCGACGGGAATACTTAATGTCTTGTTTGGACGGATTTTATTAGATTTCATTTCCTTTCTTCTTTTAAAGCTATCCTTTCAATGTGTTGACTTAACATATTGAAGATATATTTTGACAATTATTCTTTTAGACTCATAATGTAAAGAACCTTGAAATCTATTTTTATTAAAATTATAATGTTTAATCTGACTTAAACTGTATACATACATGTATTCCAGATAATATTATTAAAAGATAATGAACTTTCAGGTAAAAATGAACTTATTTAATATAAAAGTTACATCAACATCAACAGGATTAACATTTTAAATGTATTTTTCTCCAAACGTTTAATATTATTGGTTTTTGTAATTCATCATTGAGATATAGATTACTAAGAACACTGAATCTTCTCAATTTATGTATACCAAAAGGAAATGTTACCTTAAGTCATGTTATCATTAAAATCTGTCGTCCTCGGTGTTATGATAACAATACTATGACACAGCTCGTGTGTTGTCTGATGCAGGCTGGATCAGGTTCACAGATTAAGGTGATGCTGAGGCGGACTCAGCTACGTTACTAGTTTATGATATTTTACTAAAACAACAGTGTTGCTGGCGTCGTTCATTTAATTTTCAATATACATATATATCACTTACGTTATAAGCTTCATTAGTCATCATTACATTATATTAAAATAAAAACTTCAGCGATATTGTAAATGATAGAGAGAAATCTGTTTTAAACATGTTTATGTTTCTCATTTTAACTTAATATCCCTCTTATTATAAATATTATTTTTCACTCGGTTTGGGAATAATAACAAGAAGTTAGAGACTATGTTGTATTATTGATTCAAAACAACAGTGCGAATAATAAGAAGAAAATTATGTAATGTTAACTTTGAATGTAATGTAATGTTTATATTGAACCTTTCATTAACATCATTGTTATGTCAAAGAGTTCGTAACAGGGTGTACGACGTACGTCCCACTTTAAGATGAGATATGGTCGTCAGCGGTGGACATCATCAACTCGAGAGGAACGGCGAGTGATGCTGTCGTCTTGTATCAGTGAGGGGAGACGACCACTCGACTATCAAAGGATCCATATTGTAGTGTTCGGGAGAACCTTCGATAATATAGAGCATAGGTTTATTGTTATATCTTACAATATTGTTGTGGTGTATTTTTCGCACGCTAATTTTTTTATTTAGATAAAGATAGTAAAGAAAACATTGATAATACCCATAAACATTTCATACGACTTCTAGAACATCTAACTTAGTTCTATTATTTCCTTAAAAGTTTTTTTAATAAAGAAAAATATTAATACTGTAAACAATACAAGCTCAATCAACATTGAAATCAGGTTTTTTATAATGAAACTTCAATTACATTTTCGAGTCGTGGCCAAGTCCATGTATACGTATCGTGTTCAACAATCCACTCTTTAAAGAAACAAAATATTTATCTGTTAGTGTGTTCATGAACATGCACATAATATTATAATGTATGTACACACGTAAACATCCCAGCCCGGTCTCCGATAGAGAACATTAGCCCTGACTTTATAAACGGAATATATGAGGGCGAGTTGTTTGCGCTCGGCAGGAAATTCTGAATCGCCCCTGTTAATTGAATTTATTGTTGTTCCGCTTTTAAGTGGAAATCAGAACATGTCATAATAGAGATTTATCTGTGGTTTGCTTCATACCAACATTGGTGTAAACGTAACTCTACCGTGACCTCTGTTGTGTTTTGGTTATATTATATTTCAACCTATTTGACAGTAATCCAACATTTATTTGTGTCAAACAAGGTGAGTGAGCTCCAGGCTTTCGGTGAAATTTTGCGTGAGTTGGCATTCCCTTTGCGGTTCTTGAATCACAATCAGTGTGAGACGGAGCGTCGAATGACAGGGAATAGTAATCAGCTCATTAGTAGGCGACCGACGGGCTTTGTGCCTGAAACAGAATGTGTACCAGAACTCGATAGGTAACACTGTTGTGTTGTATGTATGATGTTGATGTTGAATTATAGCTTACTGATAAATAATACACTGTCCTTTTAACATCATTACCTAAATAGTTATCAAGTAAAAACTAAACCATTTTTTTTCTAACCGTCACTAAACCAGAACAGTCTTGATATGCTCTCTCTTATGCTAATATATACAAAGCTCCCTTTATTTCTCATTTTTTCCCTCTGAATGTTTAATCGCTTTTTTTTACTTTTTAGAAATTACTTTCTGTACGAGTGTCCGCCACTAACAATCTATTCTCCCCGATCTGCACCTGAGAAAGGCGAGGCGAGGTGGTTCCCTCGCCGACAGTAAACCTTATAATTGTGGCAACAACTCTTGAACTTTCAACATTCAACACTTTCCAGATAAATATTAATTATAACCCCTTTACGGTACGTAACTGACTGAGAGTGACTGGAAAATAATTATAAACTCTACTCCTCTCTAGACATACGATTAAGTACATCAAAAGGTACAATGATTGGGACAGTTAAAATTTAGATAATGACATGAGCTCCACAGGAGAAAGCTTAAAACGTAGCAACTGTCCAATGAGAGTACAGTTACACAGACCTACAACTGCGTCTGTCGTGTTTATGATAAACAGTATCAGTGTTTTTCATACAGAAGTGGAAATTGATAGCACCCAATTTTTAACATGCATCTATCATCTGTGTTTGTTTATTATACTTACATATAAAAGTCAAAATGTATTCCTGGATGTTATTGATAATAATTCGTTGCTATTTTTATTGTCATTATATCTCAGTCATTTTATACGTAAGTAATTAAGTGAAGAAAAATAAAACATGATTTTAATTCACAAAATCACATATAAGTTAAAAATAATACTATTTATTTTCTAATTGAACATTTGTTGTTGCAACTACCGTAGTATAGGATAAATTTTTAGTGGTCTAGACTTCATCTTCTTTATTTCAAAATAATTATTTAATAACAATAACATATGTCTCTAGTATGAAAAAAAAAACTCCCTTCAAATTCCTATTTAAAGGAAATATTTACCGAGGGTCATTTTTAAGACTCATAAAGTATTTTTTTAGTTTTAATTGTAGTTGTTACGAAATAAAAGCCAGATATTGTATAGACCTTTTACTATTTGTTAATATAATATTAGCGATCCACAAATTAAGTAAAAATGAGGGACGGGACAGATTATCGAAAATATGATAAAATATACACATCAAAATAATTTAAAGAACACTCAACAAAATAATAAGTACCAGCACCACAACTGCTGCCTCGACGACACAAGAAGAACGTTACAGACTCGTCAGGTCTCTCCACGTTATATAACTGTACACTTATTTACACCGTATTTACCTAAACAGTCCCACTATCGTCGTATCTGTGAAGAAAACTCAAAAATACGAAAAAGGATCGCCAGCGCTTTAAGTATTCGAATACTCTAAGGTAACTTCGTCGGCAGTGACTTTTACAAATTGGCAATCTCGAGCGCGAACACCATGAGGTTTTACGAACACAAAAATGTTGTTCTTATTGGCCGTATTCTGAGATATGGGCACTAATAAATTCGACTATATCACGAGCGTCCATGATCGCCAGTCGGCCGCACCGCGCGCCTGCCCCCTCCGCGCTCCGTCACACCGTGGTCTCGCGGTCCACGTGGATGTACTCGACGGAGCGCTCGCGACGTCAAGATGACGTCACTGAGGACGTGCGTGACCCGTCGTACAGGAGCTCCTCGGTGAACCGACGGCCGGCCGCCAGAGCACCGAGCAAACGTTTGTCCCGTCGAGATCGGCGCCGGCGCAGGGCCAAAGCGGCGAGTAGCACCAACGCCGCAGCTACGCCGCAGGCGCCCGCTGCTCCCGCCGCCGCTGGCGCGCCCAAGGCTGCCAACAGTCGTGCTCCCGCTCCGCACGCGCCTGCCTCATCACTACCGCCCGGGCAATCCACTGAACCGTCGCACCACAGCGCGCCCGCCATACAAGCGCTCAGAGACGAGCATTCGTGAGCACACGAAGAAATGTTTCCAGTGAGGGCGCCCGGGGTGGCTCCTGCCGGCCGCCAGACCTCCATCCACGTGAATCGCGCGGATCCTGCCTCTCTTGCGGACCACACGACCATGAGCGCGGCTTCACGACCGATGCTTCGGGCCCACCATTCCTCGGTGAACACTTGGACTGTTCGGGAGTCATCGCCACCGGGACAGACTGCTTTTAGTAATCTGTTTAAACAAAATAATATTTGAAACACTCGTCATCGACTTCAAACTATTTTTAGTACTCGTTTATACCTCGATGAATGAGACTCGTAAACCAAAACGCGATTTGTTGTGTGACATAATGGTGCCTCGGAAGTAGGAGTTGAAGCAGGCAATTCTTCGCCCCAGATTCGAAGAAATACTGAGCGATTACCTCGAGCCACTAACAGAAATGGCGTTTCTCCACATTCTGACATCTTATTCCCGCTGAAAAATAAAAAAATGTAACAATTCCTTTTAATAAGTAAAGGAATTTTCATATGAATATAATGATCATATTAATCCTTACTTGTATGGGTGCAAAAGGCGCACCGATGCCCCAGGTGGTGGTAAACGGCGACTCGTGGCACACTCAGAGGTGGCCGGGCCACGGGCCCATTCTCCACGGAAGTGTACGTGGCGGTGATCCTCATTCGCTGCCAAGGTACTGGCCACCAGTTCCAATTCCATTGAAGGGCCACCACTCGATATAACCAAAGGTGTACTGCTATTATCACATATACATCCTACAGGTACCTATTCGAGCAATAACGCTGATTAATAATAATCATTTATTTCAGACCATATTACATAGATCCATATAGTGTTAGTACAAATTAATCTTAATAAATAAAAAAATGGTTAGTAAATTTACAAAAACGAAGCAAAGGCATTTTTTTTTTATGACAACTTTTTTTTTAATAATGTTATCTAAATTCTTTACTATTTTATATAAGATAAGTGAAACATTTTTTATTTTTTATATAATTAATAATATTCATTCTGTAAGAAATAATAAATAGTTTCATAAAATATTCTTACTCTATATCCTGGCCAAGGTGACTCGTATATCCGTAAATGTGGCACGCGTAATGGATTTTCATCGTAATCGAAATCAACGGGGGCATCACTAGGTCTTAGATCAAGAGGGTCAATAGGATCAGGAATGCATGCCGTACGTCCCGTTAACGGATCTATTCTCGTAGAACATTTAGGCTCTCGTCCAAAAGCTGCTGCTAAAAGACGTAGTTCAATGCTAGCTCGTTCAACTTGTAATCTGTATACACAGCGAAGTCTCTTTGCACCTCCACGGCCAAACCACAATGCGTTACGAGGAGATGAAAATACTCCAGGCACTGTAAGTCTCCTCGCACACTCCGCTGGCTCGACTGGGACACGTGTTTCCGAGATCGGTAACAGGACACCTTCTAACCTAGCATCTACAAATTCATAGTGCATCACGAATGCCAAGGGATGAGTAGCGGTACCAGGAAGTGATGTAGCTGCGAGAGACATTAGCGCAGCTGCAGATACGTAACCATCTGGAGGTGCACATGGTCGCGGAGACCGTGTGGCGTTGGCGAGGGCGGCTCGAGCACAGAGAGAGGGCGTGGAGTCACAGTAGTGACCCAGAAGGTCAGCAGCCTCGTCTACACCACCACCGTCCCAAATTCGAAGCTCCACGGCGCACACGCCGCTCCCTCCAGCAGAACGCGAATACTCCGATAAATGTCGTGAAGTGACTGTGACTGCAGCGTCATCTTCACGTTCGTTACTCTCCGTTCGTCGTCCTTCCACGAGAGAATAATGTGTAAAACTCGAAAAATAGATCCAGACCAGATCACCTTAAAAATATTTTTAAGAGTCAGTAAGTCATGTCGTTGTGTACACATTTATTTTTATATATAGTTATATTAGATATATATTTAACATTACCAGGGCGGCCATGAAATGTCCAAGTGCAGGTAGTATTGGGTGGAAGCGTGTGAGTCGGTGCATGCAGACGTCCCCGGCGACCTCTCACATTTACGGTAGTCGCATTAAATTCTTCTTCCGACGAAGAAGCCTTAACATGAAATTCACAACGTTTTGCTTCCCTAGGAAAGGAAAATAGAATGAATTGAATGTCTAGTTACTTTTATAAATATCATTGAATTAAAAATTAAGACCTTGAATAATCTAGAGAATCAGAATCTGCGAAAATGACGTCTACATCGAGTTCAAATCCTCTGAGTGGTGCGTGCGGAGTGGGTGCCCGCGGAGGCGCGCTAAAGGGCGAAGAGTGGAAAGCAACCAGCATCTCTGGTCCCCGTGAAGTGACCGGAGGCAGCCAGTCCCCGCCGCAATACTCCACCAGCACGGGGTCGTCCGTGGACGCACCGTCGTAGAAAATGAGTCGATCACGCTCTCCCGTACACTCACGCCACGCGCGCACCGCACGACCCGTCTTGTTTAAACTGCCGTCATAATACAATGTTTCAGTTTTGTCTGCTGACGGTATAGCAAGTAGAAAAAATGTTCGAAATTGAACCGCACCTAAGGATTTTCTACTTATACAACATCGATTAACTCGATACAACATCGTTAGCAACCGTTATGTTACATATAGTTAAATAAGAGCGAAGTCGAGAAATTGTTGTTTTTGTAGTTAATTAACATAAAAAGTTTTTTTACTTAAATGACAGAAACTCAAGGTTAGGTTAGGTTTAAAGGATGCATATTATTTAAAAACTAACCTGGCCATCGAAATTGAACGTTTTATTTGCATTTTATGCGAATATAGCTGCCGCACTGAAATCATAGCATGCTTGCATGTCGGGATGTCCTTCTGACGCAGACTCCAGTAACAAGTTACATTTCTAAAAAATATTAATTATGAAGTTGCGTATTCATGTACAGCATTCTCAAACTTGTTTGAGTACTAGCCTGGGATACATTCCGGGGTAGTTGGGGCTCTGGAGGCGACAGGCTTTTCGGTGACATTCCTCATAGGTTCTGGTACAGTAAGTCCCGGGCGACACGGACCCTCGCTCCAAAGGCGCTTCCAATGCTCCGAATCTACACACGCAGTTTAAATCATAATTCCACTAGTTACGGCGACGCTTTAAATCTTCCAACTAATATGATCTCCATGTTTAAAAACTATATACAGAGATTTAATTTTAATAGCTTAGTGACCATTTTAATTCTAAATTAATGATTATTACAATTGCAAATTTCCTGTTGTAATTATTAATCAAATTTTTGTTTTTGAAAAAATATGAAATAAAAAATATACATCTGTAATCTGTATATTATTAAATATCTCGTATGTATAATTTGTATGTCAAGAGTTTGTTACAATGAGGCTGGTTTCTGATTCATAATCGATTAAAGGTTAGGTTTAAATTACAAACTTATTATAAGTTATTTGTGTACATTATCTCACTTAGCACAACAGTCGTTGACTTTCTCAAGAGGAGATTGGATTTAATCTCTATTAAAACCTCTGATTTTCCAAGGTATTATGGGCTTACACAAAATACATGTTTTTCATATTTATTCATTCACTTTGCTTTATTAAGAAATAAGACCAAATGACCCAATTTTAATATACATATAATACTTTCAGTTTGATGTAAAATACCTACTGTCAATTAAGAATATCTAAAGTTGTTCAACAGGAGAAGTCATTTAAAGATTATGGGAAAAGAGTAGAAGTTAGATTATTGTCAATTTCAGTCATTCAAATTCTAACCAAATGCACCTAAAATATTAGTGTACACTTATATGTAGTAAATCAAAGACATACTTTTATTACTCAGCCAATCTTCCCACGAGGTACAGTTTATTTATAGAAACTGAACTTACTTGGTTACTAATGTTTGCATTTTTACATTTACATTTTTATATTTTTGTGAATTAAAAAAATCTTACCTCACGATAGCATCACGCTGTGCAAGGAACTTGTACCTCAGTCTGAAACCAAAAGGTTCTCCAAGACGAGCTCGAAACAACTTCACTGATACGGTAACAGTCGCGGTTTCACTGTAATAAAGAGCGACGCCTTCTGCGGACCCACACCACGAGCCACCAGTGAACGGACGACCCAGCTCTGACAACTGCATGTAGCCATCCGGGCAGCCATCCAAGGCGCCCGACTCGTAACGACCCACGCGGAACTCGTCGAAAGCGAGTTGAACGAGGTCTCCGTGGGATCCTCCGCCAGCGGTGAACGTGAGATGACACAGAAAGGGAGATCTCGGCGCTCCACGCAGTCCCAGTCCATAAGCTACACCGATCCGTCCGTAATACGTCCGATTGCAAACCGAGCAGTGTGGCGGCTCATCACTCCCATCAGGACATTGCGTTTCGCCGTCGCAGTAAGCGTCGAGGCGTACGCAAGCTCCACTACGGCACGTGAACTCCGCCACGCCGCATCCGCCGGCGGCCGCGCGACTCCAAAGAGCTGCCAGGGCCAGCACCAGACACATCCACGCCCTGCCTCCTCCTGACATGCTGCTCGCGATCATTAAACACCACTCCACATGAAAACTTTTAACGTCCTGCGTGGCCAAATATTACACATTTTTTATAAAAGCACCTTCGATTGGCATGTCTAGTCTCATATTATTTATGAACAGCGTAATTACAGACGTAAAGAAAGTCGTACCCGATGCATATAGAGTTCTTGTTTAATTTTTTAGTAGCCATAATACATAAAATATATTTCGTTAAAACCACTAAAATTAATATTTTCCACTGAAACACGCGATGAGAATTTGCTTAAATATTGTTAATTTGCATAGTGTGTAACAGAGCACGGTGTCAGACTTTTGGTGTTGAGGCAGCCTCCGATGACGATGGATGCGTTCGTGACGTAACGCCGCGACACACTGCAGCGCGGCGCGCGCCCGCCGACGGTGAAGAGGGGCGGCCGGGAGCGGAGGCGGGCGCAGGCGCGGCTGGAGCACGGCCCCGACCGCTGCTGGCCACACCGCCGCCGGATTGATCGGCTCGGGCTCCTCGCTCGCTGCTCCGATCACCATCGTTGGCCCTTCACGGCTACCTTTACTCGCACAATACTTTTTCATCGAATTAGATACATATTCTCTAAACGCAATATATGTATATGTTTAGCTATTGCAATAACTTGATTGTTTTGTTTTTTTTTTTAAGATTGTTCTTTATTGATTTATATTTATTAAAAGCTTACTAACAAGGATAATAGATGATACACAAAAAACAAAACAATATTATAATAATTAAGACTGATTGTACATAGCAATTGCAATAATTTATTAATTAATTATATCAAAAGTAATATTATTATTTATTAGGCTATCTTTTAATTTTATTGTTTAAATAATGACCATATTCAGAAACTGACATTTGTTCTTCTAAGTCCTTAACGAAATAAAACAGAATTATTAGAAATGACATGTTTATTTGATATGAAGTTAAGTAATGTATTAAACATCGACCACGAGATTGAAAGCTCTTTTTGTTTTCCGAAAATTTATAATTTGATTTATAAATAAAACAGAAACTTAAAACATGTTGACACCAAAGTATCCTTTATAATTATTATTAAACGTAACGTTTTTGTTTGGATGTTGGCAAATGATTCTTAGATATCAAGTATATCTGTTTGTTCTAATTTTAAGGTTCTCTGTAATGACTGGTAAATATGACGACTGTTATGTAAACTAAGCCATTCTGCTAAAATCGGGGAAAGACTTCGACGAAATATTATGTAATATAATGAGATCTAAGACTTTCGCGAGTATTTCATTTATTATGTGATATATTTATAAACGCCACTCTAGACTTCAAACAAAAAATTATTTATTTGTGAAAACGCTTAAGAAAATGAAACAGTGTTTTATTAAATATTGTCTTTTTAACCTTAACCGGATGAACTTTTACCTCCAAAACAATAACATATGAGATAATATGCATGTTTTATATTCAATACTTATTGTTTATGTCTCTAATGTCGCTACAAACATCTAACTTACATGTTGAAGTTCCAGAAATGAAATTATCTTCGTTTCTTTAATTATGACGCAGTGTTAATTAAAAATCTGATTAAAAATAAAGAAAATTTTGATATTAAAATAAAGAATGACCTTGTCTATTTGGAGAAAATTTAGTGTGAAAGTTATTATGTATTCTTTTTCATAACTTTATTTAAAATGATACATTTATTCTTTAAAACTTTTTCCAAACTTGCCTGTATTCTTTAACAAAAACTTTTTTTAATGAAATATTTTACAACATGTTCAACTTTGGTCAGTGGTGGCCCAGTGGTTAAGGGGCCCGCCTCTCGTTGCCGAGGTCGCGGGTTCAAACCTGGCAAGTACCAATGTGATTTTTCGGAGTCATATGTACTTTCTGAGAGTATTTAGACATCACTGACATACGGTGAAGGAAAACATCGTGAGGAAACCTGGACTTATAGTTTCACAATTATAAGTTTGAAATCACCAACCCGTCTTGAGCAAGCGTGGTGATTAATGCTCAAACCTTCTCCATGAGAGAAAGAGGCCTTGCTCAGCAGTGGGCTTTTGATAGGCTGATGACATGACATGACATGACAACTTTGGTTGAGTACGAGGAACATAAGGAATAATTAACCTATGTTTAACTCCACATCATTTTAAATTTTATTACAGTATGAGTATAATGTTTCGTTTAAAAAATATTCTCTCCCTACAGTAAAATCATAAAATATTAATATTTTATAAAATAAATATAATAAATATCAATAAAAGAAAATGAAATGAATTTAAATATAAGTGTCTTTTTCCTTTTACGTCCCAAAGGTAGAAAACGGGCATACGGCCTACCTAACGGTAAGTACCCACCGCTGTCCAAAGACATCTACAACATAAGAGGTGTTGCGGATGCTCTGTCCGCCTTGTTAGTGGAGGTGCTTCCTCCTGGATATATGATTTTGAAAGACCTCATGTCGTATCTCTACAAGGAAACCCCGGGTGGGCATCGATCATATCCGATACGAGCGTGAAAAACATAACCACGACGCAGGTGATATGAAAACCCGACCCTACGGTCAGCATTAATAAAACTGTGATACAGACGATAGAACACACGGAGGGAGCTCACATCGTTTCAGATACTCAAGGTCTAGATGTAGATGTCAGATAAACTTAAAATTTATTGTAAATTCAAGATCGCCGCCGCAAAAGAGTGGCAGGTAACCTATTTTTCTTCAATTCCATTAATATAGGTATTAAATAAAAAGTTTTGACAAGTAGTATTGCAAATGCAAAACCAAACAATTGCATTTACAAATATCATACTTGACAGAATAAGTGATGAAGTTATTTACTTATAATAACTCATATTACCTCCAACAATAATATAAAACATGAACATCAATATTATCAGTAGAATACGAGTATATGGTGGGTGGTGGGTGGTGGGTGGTGGGTGGCGGGTGGTGAGTGGTGAATGGTGAGTGGTGGGAGCAATGTTACTTTTTTTTCACAGGTACAATAATTATTATAAACCCAAATATTTTGTAATAAATAAGTATATACCTAAATTAAATGAAATTAACTTTGTAGTATTAATTTTACATGTTTAATTATTATTGGTTTAATTTGTTAATACCGAGTGGTCTAGGTTTGTAATTTTGAGAGTAGGTACTTACAAAGAATTAAAAAGATAAAGTCTTTAACCAATGCCGGCGTTAGAGGGACTGACACCCTGGGCAAGAATATTTTGGCGCCCACTTGAAGAAATCAAAATCGAATATAATTTTTTCTCTGAACCTATGTGAACACTGAACGTGTATTAAGAATTCTATATTCCACCTACCATCTTCCATATTTCCTTTAGCGAGACCAAGAGCTAACGACGTGGACGTAGAAAGTTATGTAGCTCCTATTTTATATTTATTTTTTCATTCATAAGTATCCTAACTCTACTAATCGTTAGTAAACTACCTCTACTAATCGTTAGGTTAGTAAAAAGTTAGACTAACCGGCGAGTTGAGGTTAGGTTGTTACCACGTTGAGCAAGACGGCGAGGGCGTGCATATCGAAGAAATTACATAGTTTAATTTAATCTAAGAAGACAAAGAATTGGAGAACATTCAACACGTGGGTGTGTTAAAATTGGAGGGTTCCAAGAACTGGAACGTGTGGAAACTCCAGATGAAAGTATTGTTGCGTGGACAAGAATGGCTGGATAATGGCTGGATAATCGAAAATCATGGAGAACAAACGGCTTGGGCAAATAAGGATGCCAAGGCGCAAAGTCTAATAGTAACGCGGATGACTGATGATGTGATGCTACATATAATTTCTTGTTCTACATCAGCGGAGATATGGAGAAAATTATTAAGTGTGCATGAACAGAAAACAGAAACTAGTAACCACATTGTACAACAGAGGTTCTTTCAGTATAAATATGATAAAGCTGCTGACATGTCTGTGTTCTTACTTCTTATCAAAAATCCAAGAATTGCAGTGTCAATTGAAGCAAATGGGTGAAGAAATATCAAATAAACTTATCATTACAAAAATATTAATGTCACTCCCTGAAGAATACAAACATTTTTTTTCGGCGTGGGAGTCTGCTTCAGATGACAAACAAACCCTGGATTATTTTGTGGCGAGACTATTAAATGAAGAGCAAAGATTTAAGGATAAAAATGAGGAAACTACTTCATATGCATTTGCAGTGAAGTGTAAAAAGCCACTAAAATGTTTTAGATGTGGAAAAGCAGAACATTTCCAAAAAGAGTATTCAAGTGTCAAAAATAACAGTGAAAAGAATGACAATAACAAGTGTTTCTGTTGCGGTAAAGTCGGCCATTATCAATCACAGTGTTGGTTCAAAATAAATAAGAACATTCACAAGCATAAAAATATTTAAAAAAGGAATGCATTCGTGGTTAAGGCGGCCAACTTTCCGAAAACTAAATGCGGGACGTAACCTTTCGTGAATGGCGGGGGGGGGGGGTGAATGTCATAAAAATTTTCGCAACTGTCCATATTAAATTTAAGTACTCTCTTACGCGTCATGAGTTCAGAAGAAAGAAAGAAAACGAGATTATCACGGGCGCGATACGCTTGTCCCTATTATAGGTAAATAGGTAATCTGTGTTCCTACACTGTTGGCCGTGGTATGGGTGTTATGTAGAAATGTCGTAGAAAAATAGGGATGCGGGACATGCGGGACGCATACAACGTTTTGCGGGACTATTTTACGAATAATTTCAAAGCGGGACTTCGTCTAGAATTGCGGACGGTCCCGCAGAATGCGGGACGGTTGGCCGCCTTATTCGTGGTATCAACTACAAAGTATGACAAGTATCAAGAGTCGCAGTGGCTCGTGGATTCTGGTGTTGATGAACATATGTGTTGTGATCGATCGTTATTTAAACATCTTACAAATTGTTCACATAAAACAGTTACGGTCGGTAATAGTGTGCAAATAAGTGTGTTAGGCTACGGACAGGTGGCGGTGAAAGTAAAAAACGGCGATGAATGGATTGACACAACCATAAACATTTTTTTTTTGGTTATGTTCATTCCGTTTAGAACAGACAAAGAAAACAAAGCCCATACAGCCATGTCTTTTGTATTTTGTATCTTTAATTCTTTTTAAATGTCTTTATCTCCTTTTTATTCTAGACTCAAGTTTTTATATCGGGCCTAAGCCATGTCTTCTTTTAATTTTTCGTCTTGAATCCTTTTTTAATTATAAGGCCGAAACCATGTCTTTATTTAAAATATATATTTTTTTTCAAATTCTTGTTTTTTTTTACATTCCGTCTTTATCAATGTCAAGTCCTTGTAATGTCATTTTTAGTACAATAATTAAGTTGTCAAAATCGATATAACAGTCAAATTCTGAAAATAGCTGAAAAAGCTGAAAGCAAATATCTAAACCAAAACGAATAAATTTGTATTATATACATATGTACAAATAACAATTAGATTTCATTTATAGTAGAAACAATAAAGCCATAAACTGGCAAGAAGCATTCTTGAATGCTTAGTATTTGCTGAAGGGAGCGCGGGATATCTTCAGCAGTTTTAAAAATACTTAAAAGTTGGTCTACACTCTACAAGGACCATCTTTTGAATACTAAACTCTGGACAATCAAAAAATATATGTTCGAGGGTTTCTGCAGCACTATTAAAATATCTACAAGTTGAAGAGTCAAAAACACCATTCCTAAAAAGGTGAGCACCAAAACGACAATGTCCCAGACGCAAACGACAGATTCTGGTATAATACTTTCTATGGTTATAGTCACTACCCCGGGTAAACAAGGGAGAAGAGACCTTTTTCTTTATTGTAGCGAACCATTTTCCTTTTACCTTTACCACCCGATGCCACAACTTGTAAAATTCTTTCTGTAACTTGAGTTTGAAGAGGGATAGAGTGTCTGAATAAGGAATTGGGAAATTTAAAAAGTTATGACTTAATTGATTGTGGGCCGGATTTGTAATAAATTTAGCTAAATAGTCTGCTTGCTCATTACCATGCACACCAATGTGGGCTGATCTCCAGAATAAGACTATTTGCTTGTTTTGAGACAGCAGGTGATACAACTCTCTTATTTTATATATAATATAGTTAGTTTTTGAATTCAATTGTGGATTTTGTAGTGCTGTTAATAAACTTAAACTATCTGTTATTATAATCCACTTTGGATGAGTCTGTGTTTGAATGTGCTCCATAGCTGTATATACAGCTATGGATTCAGCGGAGAAATGCTTGTGAGTGGATTCAGCCTATGACTGAATCCACTTTTGATCTGACTATCATAGACAGCTATAGAGACTGCTTCATTGTTCCTAGACCCATCTGTATATATCTGATGATATCGCTGCAACCTATCAAGTTCCCTATAAATGTCTTCCTTATACTTTAGAAGACTTTTGACTACAATTTTAATCTGAATAAATTTTGATTCATATAACCCAGAGTAACAAGGCCGTACCATGCTAGAAAATATATTATGTTTATTAAAAATTTGTTCTGTTTCAGAAAAACCTTGAAACAAATATGAATTAATATTGGCAGTCCTGTTAATAGTGTCCTGTAGTTTAACAAGAAGTGGATGATTACTGAAGGAGAGCAACCTTGCAAAAAATTTTGATTGTAAGTATTTAAACCTAAGTGCTAATGGAGGTATATTACATTCCACCTGCATTGACACTATGGGAGTAATTTGCATGGCACCCATTATTATAAGCAACCATTTATTCTGTATCTTTTCTAATTTATCTACTATAGTTCTTACTGATTGTACACGTAAAAAATTAGTATCAGAGCAATAAACAACTAAATCATCTGCAAACTGCAGATTAGAAACTTCACACCCCAGAGTTAAATTTAGCTGATGTATGAATAGGATAAAAAGCAATAGGCTCAATACAATACACCACCCTGTGATACACCCCAACAAGAATATCTTGGACCAAATAACTGATTGTTGACCTTAACAAACACCTTTCTGTAGTTCAAAAAATTAAAAATCCAATTTACAACTTTTCCAGGCACCTGTAGTAATAATAATATTGAGGATAATTTGTTCAGATCTACATTATTGAAAGCCCCTACAATGTCAAGAAAAACACTAACTAATACTTTATTCTCGGAATGAGCATTGTGGATATCCAGACAGAAATGACGTAGACACTCACAAGCAGAACGGCCACAATGAAAGCCAAACTGATTGTAAGGTAAAAGATTATTACTTTCTATGTGAAAAATTAATCTTTGTTTTATTAATTGTTCAAAAATTTTTCCAACACATGAACTCAGTGTAATAGGACGATAAGAATCAGCCAAATTAAAGTCTTTGCCAGGTTTAAATATTGGTACCAAACAGTTAGTTTTACAATCCTCTGGGATAATAGAAGACGATCATAAACTATTTAATAGACTTAAATAAATAGATGAGTTTGAACTTTTAAAAGTTTAAACATTCTGTAGGAAAGCCAATCCAGGCCACATGCAGAATCTTTTCTTGAGTCTAAAGCAGATTTTCACTCTTGCATAGTAAAACAACCGATCATGTATGAATTATCACTATTTACTCCAAGAACATTATCTATACTTATCTGTTGTGAAAAAGTATCCGGTGTGTATATATATAAAAATGTTTGAACCCAATTGAGGTCAGAAAATAAGTTAGAATTCGGAAAGCTTTTTTTGAATTTACTTATTTTAGTCCAAATGCGATTTATAGATGTCAAACGATTTATTGATGAGCAGAATTCAGACCAACTTTTACAACGTTCTTCTTTTAAAGGCTTGTGCGCGTTTAAAATTAATGTAATTTTTTCTATTAAGACTAGTTTTGAAATTAATGTTGGCGTTCTTGCAGTCTTCTACTACTTTTGAACATTTATCATTCCACCAAAGAACTTGACACCTTTTTCTAGGACGGTTATTATTACTATCAGTTGTGTTATGGTTTAAACTGGGCCCGGAGAATTTGATTGCCAATAGAATAATTGCACAAAACTTTCTGTATGAGTCAAGGAGATCACTATTGTCAACTTTAAAGTTCATTAACATTTTATTAACAATTTGTTCATACCTATCCCAATTTACTAATTTCAGATTGCTGTGAAAAGGAATGTTGTTCAAGGAAATAGAGGGCTCATGTTGATCTTTTACTAGAGTAAATTTTGCGATAGTTGGCAGATGATAACTGCCTAAAGAGTCCTGATGAACTTGTCAGTCACAAGAAAGAAATAAAGAAGAAGACATCATAATTAAATCTAGACTGTTTGGTTTCCAAATATGAGAGCCTATAGTTGTTGGTTGACCATTATTTAAAAGTATTAAGTCAAGGTCATCCATGGAATCCATAATAGCTCTGCCCCGAGAATCTATGCGACTACAACCCCAAAAAGTGTGGTGGTCGTTAAAGTCACTTGCAATTATAAACGGTTTTGGAATACTAAACAATGAAATTTCAGTTTAATAACAATTACTATATTTTGTAACGAATCATCATAAAAAGTATCTAGTTTAGAGAAATGTATACCATTTTTAATTAATATTGCTACGCCATGACTGCGGTAATGCTCATCATTACCGCAGTCATTCCTAATAATGGTATAACCACGTAAATTAAATTGAATGTTAGACCTGAGCCAAGTTTCTGAAATAAGAGCTACATGTATATTATTTTGGTATAGAAAATGTTTAAACTCAAGTCTGTTACTTAACAGACTTTGAGCGTTCCACTGTACAATAATTAAGATTTGGTGGTTGAATGTGACGATTTGCTATTTTTATCCTGTATGGTTTCTTTAATAGCTGAGCTAATAAATTGTGAACTAATACTTATATTTTGAGTTTTATTTAGAGTAATAACTTTTACTATAGATTCTGTTAATAGGGTCATTGCTTCAGAATTTGATAGTATTGCTTGGATTACTTCTTGGGTATTTAATTTTTTATTAAGGGAGGGAAAATTTAATGAATTTTTTAACGTGTCAGCGTATGACTTGGGTTT